AAAGATTATAACCTAAACTATAAAAATATCAGTTTATTTTTTCAATAATATTAAAATTAAAAAATTAGATACAATTTAAATTTAGATTAAATTTTTGATGAGTATAGATGTTATGCATTATATTGGATTCTTTCTAACTCATTCATTTATAACACGTAATTTGTATATACCAAGTCATATAATATTATATATGTAAAATGGTCTATCAAATTTATCTTTAAATTTGTTATTATGTATGTATAATTGTGATATATTAAACATTAACATTTTGTCTCCTATTTGATAATTTATTTTAGAGTAACTTTGTTGTAACGTTCTTGTTGTTGTTATTGACATTACAAAATATTTTATTGTGCATTAAGTCTCCTTTGTTCTAACTGGTTAGAAATTAACTGATAATATTTATGCACTGCTTATAGAAAGTTACTTTTAGGAAAAGGGCATTGCAATTATAAATCGATAGGTAATATTACTTTTCTTTTATACAATAATTCGAAAGGCTCTAATTTGGTTATGCTTTGCTAAGAGGTTCAATAAGCAAATAGAGCTGAAGGCAAATATGAATCCCATTTACCTTTACATTATTCTACATATTTCGCTAAAATATTACAAAAGATTCAATTAAATCTTTCAGTTAATCCATTAGTTTAAGAATAGTATAAAGATAATAATCTATGTTTAGTTTTAACAATATGCATGAGTATAGCAACTAATTCATTTTAAAAAGATATGACTCAATTAGTCAAGATTTTCTTTGGTATATTATGATGATAAATTATTTCACTATAAGTAAATTATGTATTTATTTGAGAAATACAATCAGAAGTTGCAGCAGCTTCTACCTATTTGGTAAGATATTTAGTAATAACTATAATATATCTATTTTCTTTAGTGATTCAAGAAAGAAGTCTTACAAAATCTATTCTAATACGATTAAATAGTTATCTAACTGATATTAGATGTAATAGTTCTACCTGTTTAGATCTTCCTTACCATTAATATGTATTACAAGTTTTTATCTAATTATCAATAACTTAATACATATTTGATCAGTAATACTTAGAGGCTATTTTATTGTAAGTAATATTGTGACTTAAATATCCTTCTAAAGGTTCGTTATATACATTGTGAATTAAGGTTTTGATTTTAGTAGTAGTTTTTATGATTAATAAGAGTTGTGAGGGTTATTTCTGATTTTAAAAAGATTACAAAATAGTTATAGAATTTGTATAAATAAAACTAGGTAATGGGACTATTATTAAATCTGAAATAATCTTAACTAAAAAAAATATTGCAAAAGCCAATCAGCATTAATTCAATTTTTGAATAGGCAAACATTAAAATACTTTACGTAGATATACGTATATAATCCTTCACTTTGTTCTGAACTAATAACAAAAAAATTGAAATTAAAGATTAAGTATAATAAAATTAATTGAAAGAATTTATAATAAATATTGAAGTATTAAAAAAAATAGTGTTATAATTATATCTCTATATAGTTACTTTTATATAAGTATATCATATATATAATTACACATTTGAAATTTTTAATAAGTTAAATTATAAGAAATATTCTTCTCTATAATCACATTCATAGTAATATTTCTTTAAAAATACATTTGCTTTAAAAGTCAATATGCTACTGTATAATTATAAGAAGATACAACTGTATTGAAAAAACAGAAATGTTTTATCTCTATACTAAAATTTTTCTAAATTCAAATATTTCAAATTTTAATAAAAAAAATTGATATTATCAACTTATAATAAAATTTTATTTTTTTATATATAATGATAATGATAATTATTAATGAAATAAAAATCTTTTTGTAATATTTAGTAATAATTTTATAAAAAATTTATTTAAAAAACTTTGATGATTATTATTAATTTAAATTTGAACACCTTTAATTATTAAATTCACTTAAATTTACAGTAATATAAAATTTTCAGCCCTATCATTCTACGGACCAATCACGATCATCTTTATATCACGTGATAGTCAAATCACGTGATTTAACTACGCTTTAAAAAAGGGTGTCTGAAATTGGAATCCCAATCTCAATTTCAGAATTTACAAGTATATGAATTTTTTTTACATTCGAATTTTTAGAATTTTATGTTATAATAATCATTTCATAATCACGCACTTAAAAAATCAAAAAAAAAAATTTCATAATCTCCAAATTAAAAAAAAAAAATTTTGTAATACATGTATGTAATCGACGGTTCTAAAAATAGTTTTTAAGGGAATTACCAATTTCAGACGCAAACCAAACAATAGTAACCGATCATACGCTTCGGGCGATATCACAGAAGTTTGGGCGAAAAACTTTCATTGAAATATTATTCAGAAATAATGGCCGAAATAAACGTTAAGTTTTATGTAATCAAAAAGTTATCATTAAATGATAGCTTTTAATTTTATTGTATTATTTATATCAAAACATAAATAATAAAAAAGCTTGAAATACATTAAATATTTGATAGTATTGTATGTATAAATGCAAAGAAAGGTATTGTATCATTGCGAAAAATTGATTATGAAAATGAATATTTTGCACATAAAAATACATGACAATAAGTCAGAACATAACGCTTAATGTGAACAATATATGATGACATCTAAAATAATATTTAAAAGTAATGTAATGAAAACAATCATAGATAAGAATCACGTAGTCCTACGATAAGGATTTTAACTCTTGACGTAGCAACTTTGTACGACAAATACGGATTTAACGAAATGAACTTGTTTTCTTATTTTTTTTTTTATTTTCCAAAAATATCACTTTGCATACTTTTAATTTTTTTTTCATTTATTGCTAATTAAATTAATAAATGATCATACATGAAGGTTGATTATTAATCAAACAAAATGTTTCCCTTTATAATGTTCAACCAAAGAAAATGATTTGATCTTACAAATTTTGCTTTTAATCATTAACCCCAAATCTATGAGAGAGAAATGTAGGGTAACAGGAAAATTTACCGGAACCATGACAATGCGAAAAAAGAAATTGATTGTCTGAGACGAAATCCTTTGATCGATCGTAAGAGAAGTTATGAGCGAATCAAAAGATTCGATTAAAATTTTCAATTTAAAAAGATGGTAAAAGAGATCTTTGTCCAAATCCAACAATAAAAAATTCAGGAGTACATTTAAATTATTTATCAAAAGAGGATTCTTTTTGATTGAATTTATGCGGTAACATTAGATTGATGTTGCAATATGAAACATTGTCCCCCCATTGTGTAATTAACCATCTTTGGTGCATCTGTTTCAGCTTTTAATATCGTGAAATTTCGGTCGTACCAAACTTCATTATGTTTATCAAATATGATTTCAACCTTAAAAAAAAAATATATATATATTTTTTTTTTTTGTTTCAAAAGTGAAACTAAACTAATTAAATTTTTTAAGTTTATCAAAACTTTCATGCGGAACCTTTTTTTTTTTTTTTTTTTTAATATGCATGGTACAAATATAATATCTACTCCGCTTAATGCATATCTTTGTTTCTATTTTTGACAAATTAAAGAGTATCACCAAGTAAAACAAAAAAAAAAAAAAAAAAAAAATATTGAAACATAAATGCAAAATGCCTATTCCACGCATAACCTTGTTTAGGAACCAATTGCATCGGAAAATCCGCTTAAATTTCCGCTTGATGACGATTTTTAATTATTTTGTATCCTATTAATTAACTATTCAACATAATAGGTATGCCTTTCACTAATTGGGATATTCTATTTATGGCATAAAAGATATGTCAAGAAAAAATGTGGTACTTCGTATTATAAATGGATAATTTGTAGATTGGAACCGTTTGTAATTTTGTTCTCTTACCTTTCTCTCGCTTCCATCCCTTCCATAACCATTCCCTCCATTTTCATTAATTTCATTAATTTCATGTTCATTTTAATTTTATTTATTTGACGCTCAATTTTGGCGATAAAAATAAAATATAATTTAAAACCCGTCTTTCGAGAGAAAAACCAACTCACATTTCTTTCCATTATATATATTCTACCTTGTCCTTCACCCTTCATTTTCAAAAAGAAATAAAGGGGAATCAAGGTTGTTACTTATCTATAAAAAATTTCTTGTAAAAAAAAAAAATTATTACCGACAGCTTCATGCTGGTGCATGACTTGTTAAATAAATAAATCACAAAATAACCACTTTAGATTAATAAAAATGGCACGAATAATCAAAAATTGCATAACAAACCTAATAGGAATATTGTTGGCGTTTGCACTGTGTGCATTACTTCCTACAAACACTCAAGCCACTTCTTCACTCTCCGAGAAATATCGTGAATGTGAAAGTAAATTTTGGTACAAAAGTACTTTGGATTTTAAAAAATCACAAAAATCAAAATGTATCAAAGACAAGAATCAAAAAGAAAAGAAACGCAATCAACATCGTGATTGCAAAGATGAACCTTACGATAAAGAGGAGATGTTAATGAAATGGCAAAAATATTCTAATTGTCGTTGTAAATCCGCTTTAAATGAGCTTAAAGGAAAAGAAAATTATTATGTTTGTTATCAAATCGCTCAATTTAATAAAGCTTCGGGTGAATTTATTGGTGAATTATCCGTGTACAAAACGGGTGATGAAAAAGTTGATGTGGGCCTTAAATTTTCTGATCCTAAAATAGTTGATGGTCAATGGACTAAAGATGATGAAGGTTACTTTCATTCCAAGACAAGTCCTAAATCGGTTGGAAAAGATGGTAAATTTTCCATTGAAAAATATTATATTTCTGGTAAAATTCCAAAGAATAAATCCTTGAATAAGATTACTTCAGATGAAATTTCTCCGTCTAAATTAAATGTTGGGAACGATCAACAAAGAGTTTTTCTAAAAAAAGATCAAGAAGCTATCATTCCTTTTTCTAAATTCGTTGATAATGGGTTGAATTTTCAAACTGGCGAGAATCCAGATGACGCAACTGACAACGGAAAGAATCCCAAGAATCCGGATGACGCAACTGACAACGGAAAGAATCCCAAGAATCCGGATGACGCAACTGACAACGGAAAGAATCCCAAGAATCCGGATGACGCAACTGACAACGGAAAGAATCCCAAGGATCCGGATGGCGCAGTTGACAACGGAAAGAATCCCAAGAATCCGGATGGCGCAACTGACAACGGAAAGAATCCCAAAAATCCGGATGGCACAGTTGACGGAAAGAATCCAACAAATGGTAATGATGGAAAGGAGCCGGTCGATGCAAGTCCAATTTCAAGTCCAATTTCAACTCCAAAATCACCTGTACAAATATCAACTCCTAATAATGTTGATGCTGAAAAAGGAACAAATGATACTACTAATGCAGAAACTAATACTATTCCAACATCTTCCGCTCCTGAATCTCCAAAAGCAAAGCAAGAAGAAGCAAATGAGTTGCCAGGAATGAAAATGACAACATCTATCGGTCTAATTATATTCGGAAGTGTTGCTGGAGCTGGTATTATTGTCGTTTTATATAGTACCTATGGAAGGCGTAAATGGCGCGAGCATTATCGTCGTAGACAAGCTGCCTTTGCTGATTCATCTAATTATAGTGGTGGACGAGCTCTCTAAAAATGTTGAAATCTTAAGGGAATTTTCTTTTACTTAATCATAAGAATGTAATATAGATAAGTGGATTAGCCAGCGATTTTATTTAATTATTTCATATTCATGGAAATCTTTTAAAAGGAAGGATTCATAAATTATTATAATATAATTTAGATAGCAGTTCACAAATATCTCGTTAATATAAAGAGAACCATTCCCTATATAGAAGGATACGTTAATGTAACTAGTATAAATTTTATAAAATTTTTGTGACCGAAATTCTCTTTATGTAATAAACCAAATTAGTGTAGTATTTTGTAAAATTTATAAAAAAAATTCACGGAAAACAAAAGATATTTATATCAATAAAATGGTAATACATTTTTTTTTACAAGACATAAATTTTAGCCACAATTGATTATCAAAACTCAACAATAAGAACTTAATCAAGAACGAATGATATTAGGTTTTACCCAATTAAAATTGTTTGAGGTATTATTATTAAAGTTAGTATTGGATTTAAAAAAAGTCCAATATAAATATATAGATATTCAAGCAAAAATGTCTACATTTACATAAAGTCAGAATCAACTAGAACTTCAACTTTAAAGCATTTAAATTCCACCCAAAACAAATACTAATGAAACGGTATAAAATTGTAAGCAATAAATCTTCAAATCACATATCATTAAATGATCAAAGCATTGAAATCAATGAAAATGATCAAAGTTTTTTGAATTATATAATGACCAAAACACATCAATTCCAGAAGGTGGTGAACAAAGTATGTTAATTTTAGAAGGTGGTGATCAAAACACGTCAATTCCAGAAGGTGGTAATCAAAACATGTCAATTTCAGAAGGTGATATTCAAAGCATATCATTTTCAACAGATAATGAAGAGTCTGTCTTTGATGATATCTTGAAAGATACTTTAGAAGAATCTGAATCTGAATCTGAAGTAAATACAGATTATCCAAATGAAGCATATGATGATTTAATGGCATTAGTTATAAACTATAAACTTAGTAATAGAACAGGTAATGCAATAATAAGATTTTTTAATAAACACACAAATCTTGATATATCTCCACTTCCAAAATCTATCAAACAAGGATGCATATATATGGATAATATGAATCTATCACGTTTGACATATCAAAAAACTTGTGTAATAGATTATAATAATAAGGAATATTATCTTTATTATCAATCTTTATTAAATTGTATAAAAAATATTTTATCTATTCCCGATATATCACGAAACTTTGTGCTAACTTTCAAAAAGCTTGAAGTAATTATTTTATTTTATTGAGCTTTTAATATTTATGTTAACAATATGATATATATCATTAATATATATATAGCATGATGAAGAAAGAATATACAATGAATAAAATACTGAAATATAGTAGAAAAATACAGAAAAAACTATCCTATATTATTCCAAAATCTTATCAATAATATTATATTCGAATGCTACTAATGTTGACATATTGGAAAAACATAATTTTCATCCCATTTATGAATCAATTGGCAACATTAAAAATTAAAAGTGTAATAAACTAGATGCTAAACAATTATTAGGATATTTGCTAATCCTAAAAGCCAATAATAATACAGAAAAACAATTTAAAACTTTAAGAATATTACTCATGAAGCTTTTTATAAATCTTTAGAAGTTTTGCTAAATCTTCTCCTAAATGATAATAGTATAAATTTAACTTTAAATAGCGAAATGATTTGGTTTAGTCCTTGAGTTTCAATCGTAATTGCTGATTAGCCAGAAGCTGCAACATATTGTCTTACTTTCAAATCATCTATGTCGAATTTTCCCTGTCATTTTTATTTAGTCAGAAAAAACGATCTTGCAAATATTAATTTAACTACAACTAATATAGAACTATGAATACATGATAATATGAGCCAATTTTTTAATCAAAATTTAACAAGATCTATTTACTTCAAAAAAGTACATAATTTTTTGAAAACTACTATAAATATACTTAGCATTTATATTACAAGATTTATTGTATTCATTTTAATATTTTATTTGTCTATTTAAGTAATATAAATATTTATGAAGCTACAGTACCAGATAGAATGCATCATCTCGATTTAGGTCTATTTCATTATCAAATTGAATACATAAGAGAAATTTTAAAAAATCAGTTTGGTAATTCTTTAATAGATGAAATAGATTGTAAGTTAACTGCAATACTAAGATTCCCTGAATTAAAGATTTTTACAAATAGTTTATAATCAATTGCTAGATCTGCTGATGAATACCGTAGCTTAATGAAAGTAATAGTTTTTGTAATAGATAATCTATATAAAGAAAATACAAAAGGAGTTAAAAATTTTATTAAAAATAAAGATTTGACACAGCTTTATGAAGCATGAAATGATATATATGCAATTAGTAAATTTGAAATGTTTAAAGAAAGTGATCTGAACAAATTTAAGGTATGTATAGTAACACTAAACTTAAAAAAAGCTTCTGTATTCTAATATTTAAATCTTTTAGGATTCAATAGATAATTGGTTTCGAAGATTTATAAAAATTTTTCAAAATATCTTTCTATCAAGGTTAAAATTACTGAAACTACATTTATGGGTATATTATATAATTGATTCAATTCAATCATTTAGTGCAATTAATAGATATACCACAGAGACTTACAAGTCTTCACAAAAAATATATCAAAAATTCATACTGATTAAGTAATAAAAGGAATATCAAAACTCAAATAATAAAAATGGTAAGTAACATGAAAATTTACAAATTACATAATATTGTATTAAAATTGTTTATATAATATAGATTCGATGACAGTCAATTATAAACTTAACCCATTTATCAACAAAATTGCCAACTATTCCTTGTGCATTTAAATTCTCTGCAAAACCTTTTGAGTTTAAATTAAGTGATGTAAACACATTTTTTGAGAAAAAAGATTCAGATCATGAAATAAATGATAAAATAAAAACTGGATTTACTAAATTTGTGGAAAGTTTAAATTTATATTTAGATCAAGTACCTGATATAACTTCTATAAATGAATACAAAGTGAAAATATATACATTGGCTGACAAAAGAAATGCAACAACTTATTTTTAGCTTTAAATGCTTATAACTTATTAACTACAAATACTAGAAACATAATTTTTGATTCATTTTAATCCTTACATTTTGGAAAACATCCTATAAAAATTTATTAGCCAATTAAT